AGAAGAGATACGCATTTCTGTGTCTTGCGCAATATTTTTTAAATTTTTATAGATTCATGTATAGAGAGTTAAATTAAATAACGCAGCTTTAAAATCTCTCTATTATTTTGTATGCAATTGTTAACATTTTTCTAACGGTTGATTGCATGAAATCGATTATCAAATATTTCTATACATATTTCCTACATTCCGCTTTTTTTTTTATATCCATCGCGACTCAGTGATATCGTAGGTTGTACGGTGCGATAACGGGCGTATATTAATTTACTGAAAATGTGCCGAAGTCGAAATTGTTATTAGAAGAAACATCAGAGGATTGGATCGCCGATAACTGATTCGTCTCGCGCCGAACCGTGCCTCATTTCCGCGTGCATGTCGGAATTGAAATGGATCGCGCATCGTTTTGTACGGCCGACGCTGCGGATGTGTGGCACTGTGGCTATTTATTGATCCGCAATCCGGGCGAACGACGCATTGAAAAGTGTGTTTCGGTATAATGCTCTCTAGTGCGTTAAGTTCGGCGATAAACCATTCGCGATCATAAATCGGAAATTCCGTGAACTTTCGTCTACCTCCCCCCCCCCACCCTCCTCCCTCCCCGATAATCGCGAGCTACATCGAAAATTCGGGCGAGGTATTTTATACATAATCTTGGATTTGTGTCAGTAATATGAATCGCGAAATGAAAACTTGGGCGTTGCACATTTTCTTTTGGCGGACAGATCCTTAATTTGCATGAACTACTATATTGAAGTGTATCTCACTCCCGACACCCCTTTTATCTTCCTATATAATTAAAATTCTTGATTAAATATTTCCTCCTATTCCATATTTCATATTCCGCGCGCACGCCTCACTTTTACCAGTTAATATTTTATATTAATTCTCGGATTTTTTATATTTTCTCTTCTCTTAAATATATTTTTTTTTTCTAGATTTTATAATCCTGATCACATTTAAGGTTCTTTTAGCTCGCGCTGCGTTTGTACACACGTTTCTTACATTTAAATGAAGATGCAAAAATAAAAGCAGACAAGTTCTGTAGAAGCGTTACCTCGAATAAATCGAGAGGCCAATTGGTTGCAAAACGTGAAACGAAGTGGAGAGTGCATTTGCGCTTTCGCAAATACGAAGGGTCAGAAAGGGAATCGGGAAACGGTAATTTCTTTTAGAAATATTACTCGCCGTGCTCTCGGTGTAGCCGCCCGTTTCAGTTACCGCGTATAATTTCTCGATGAAGGCCGATTTGTCGCAGATATAGTTGACCTCGTTTCTTCTTGCTTCGCACGCTGGCAGAGCGCAGGTTTTTATTGCATTTCTATATCCGTGAAATACAAGCTCCGTTCAAACGCTTACATTCGATACTCGATCGGGGGAAACTATCTAATTATTTTCGCGGTTTTTACATTAATACCGCTTAATGAATAATTAGAAAATCTTTTCCGCCATTATTTCCCTCCCCTCATAGTGTATACTCCGAGTATGCGAGCGAAAGGCCATAAGTCAAGTTAATATCAAAATAACATTAATCCGACGATCTTCTCTCTCGATCAAACGTGAGCGTTACAATATTCCGATATCGAAATCTATATGAATTTTGAGTAAGTAATTACGAAATTGCAATCGCGCTTTCAAATTTGATGAAATATATTGGTATAAAGTAGAAAGAATCGGCGATAATTCATTATTTTCCGCTGGAAATGACAAAAAGATTTTAATTACAAATATTTGTGCGTTGCGTTTGTGCACAGCGTTCTTGTCTTTTTCGTGCTTTTTGATGTAACGTTATGAAGTAACGGTCGTGATATTTTAGACATAGGCGAATGGAAATGGCTGCGCGCTTTTGAACATTTCGTGGAGTTTAATGAGCGAATAAAATCACATACCTCAAACACGTGCGCGCAAATTTCGCATTACGATCTGAAACAAGTCATGCGGCGAAGAAAAAAAAAACGTGCATTAAATGATCCGAGACACGCGATTTGCGCGTTGGCCATCTCGCTAAGTTGTAAACCATCGATTTCCTTCATAAACGGAAAAACCGCAGGACAATTGAATAATATAAAGCCGATGTACACACACTCATGTTAAAACTATATTGAAAGTAACGCAATTGCTCTCGCTGCTGCGTATATATGAATATCTAATTAGTAAGAAGAATATTAGAACGAAAGTCGTGCTATGCGACTCTATTTTCTTTTTTTTTGCCGTAGAAGTAAGTTATAGCCTGCTCCACTTCTGCGATTTATTCTATGTAGGAACACGATATCATTAACCGTGATAGTCAAATATGACGTTAATTTAACGAGAGAAATAGACAATATCTTTTGATTTATGTTCACTTTCGCAATTAGTAATATAATTGGATTAACAAGCAAGTTAAAATCATGTCCATTTCTGTGAGTTGCGAAATTTCGCTATTAAAACTTCCCGACAAGATTTACGGAAACAATTCGATGGTACGCATTTATTTCGCCGGACAATTGTAATGCACAAATAAAAATCGGGATACATACAGAGAGAAATTTAGCCATTTAATTAAATTTTTATCTACTTTCAATGATCAGTTACGTAATACTCAAGTAAGCATCGCTATATATTACCGAGTATACCGAATACCGCTCATGTTGGCCATTTAAAATGTAAGGGTTGGCACTGTGCACTTAAGTAGGTCGGGACTATGCAAATATTGAAAATATTACCTTGCAACGAAAATATTCCACACAGTAAGTAGGAAATGTAACAACGGAGATTAGTATCGTAAGCCTCGTAAAAGAATTTAAGCAACTCATGATTTTATGAATGACCACGACGATTTCTTGCTTGATAAAGATTCGTTGTTTAAAAAAAAAATGTGTTACAAACAAATTCTTTGTTATCACAAGTAGAGTGTTATAAATATTCGTCATAAATATTTCCAGTATATCGCATTCTTCTAGCGATCTTGAAATCTGAATAATATAATGTACAAATAACAGCTCTCACTAAAAATGTGATGAATCTCAATCTGAATAAGTAAAAGATAGCGAAACGATCTAGAAAAAGAGAGCGACGCGGCCACGTAATCGCCACGTAATCACGACTTATAAATCCTCATAAATTTTCCAAAGTGTCCAACGGACACGTGGAAACTGCTCTCGTGGTCTTTCTAACAAGTAAATAGCTTTGAAAAGTGTCAACAGGGAGAGAGAATAGCACAGCTGTACCCATAAATATCAGTGAGGAAACTTCCGCGTGTCGAACTCGGACGTTCGACGCGCGGTACCGGCCGACCCTCTGCATGCATGTGCGTGTTTCACTGGGGCGAGCACAACAGCCCTTCACTCTTACTTTTCCTTACGTTGCGTATCGCCGGGCCGGGCCGGGCCGGGCGCGCACGGTGCCGCGCCGCCGCCGCCGATGCATAAGCGCATGTGACCGAGTTTCGGCGGAATATGATCGACCGCGCGAAACTCGGTCAAAGACCACCGACACCTTTCCGCGACTCCGCCTGTGGGTATGTACGCGTGTGTACGTGTGTATGTGTGTGTGTATAGGGGGTGCCGGCACATCCTCGCGAAATTCCCCTCGTCGCGCGCGCGCGAACGTCCGCAAACGCGATCGTTTATCACTGCACGTGTTTATCTTTGGCGATTCGCGTTCCTAATTCGCAAAAACCGCCCCAAACAGATCGATCCACAGTTTCTCCTTAGTTTCTCCACCGCCGGGAGATTAAGCTTCTGCGGCAGAAATACGATCCTTCGCAGCCATTAGGCGCGCAGAAGGGTCTTATTCGCGAACGTGGATATCAGATGTTGTAATTAGTATTGCGAATAAGACTCTAGTGTTAAATTGTATAGTACTTGGATCGCGTAACATCGCAATAACAATATTTTTTATTAAATATAGTTTTATAAAATATTTTATATTACGTGTGAAAATATTTTGTAATATGAGTTTATGTATATGTATTGGTATTTTCGCGCGGTTTGCACGAGTACCAATTCCAAATTTTTTATATTAATTTAGCGGAATGATTCAGCGCACGCTCATCTGGATTTCTCCGTTTTTTTTTGTTGCAGATAAAAATCGACCGACTCGAAGACTAGACTATGTTATTTCGGATAACGGATTGATCGCACCCGTCGCTTCATTTACACGTGAGTATGCATTTTTTTCTTCGAAGGGATGATAAGCCCATTTGCAGGAGTAGCTCGTTCATTCGGTGACGTTATTCACTAACGACTTCCACGAGGTCTCTCGCGGGATATTCCGAGAAATACTAATTGAAATATCAGAAAGAAATATTCTAATCACGTTTCTATAATTAAGACTTACGTCAGGCTGTGGACGTATGACCTTACGCTTAAAATCGTTTCTGCCGCCGTTGAACTTTCAACGTATTTGTACTACGGAAAATGTCGGAAAAAAAATCAAATCGCTCTAATGAGTTATAATGTCATTCCGCGAATTCAACTAGTTATTTCTGATATTTGCGCTCTCCTGACAACATCAGAATTACGATATCTTCGGTCTTATCGCAACGCAACGCTTGCTCGACTCCTCTTAGGTCGGACATGAAAAATCTTGGTTCGCGTTGGACGGTCCCCGACATAGCACGCACTGCCGCAGCGCGTTCGTCATTTCTCGTCGCCATTTCGTTGGAACGAGATTCAGGTAGCAGCAGCAGCAGCAGCAAGAGCAGCATCCGCAACAGGAATAAAACTAGAAGTAGCGGTAGCACCAGCGACAGCAACGGCATTAGCAGCAGCAGCAGCAGCAGCAGCAGTACTCGCGTGACGGCGATCGACAAGAAGAGGGAGAGCAAGAGCAGCGGCAGATCGGCAATCGACGTGCTGCACGGAGCGCCCTTATCCGTCCGACCGTACGTAACGGCGTCGTGTGACCGCATCGTCGGCACGACGCGCCCGGAATCGACGACGCCCAGGAACCGGCCGGTAGCCGGCAAGTCGCGCCGCTTTCAGCACCGGACCCGTCGTCCCCGTCAGCCGCAGCAGCAACTTTACTACCCCTCCGCGTCGTGGGACACGCGCACACTACACTTCAGGAACTGTTAGCACCGATCAAAAGTGAGTCCACCGCGGTCTACCGATGGATCGCATCTTTTCGTCGTCTTCGTAATTCTTCGTCATGTCTCATAAAATTTAGTTATTCCGGTCTTACTTTATCCTCTTCATAGATGATTTGATGGTTTCACCGATTCTCTCTGTTGTGTTATCATTAATCCACGTTGATAATATCGAGTTTCGAATGTTACTTCGGATATTAACAATCCCGACTCACTGTTGATTTATGTTGCGATTGATCACTTTTCATTCTTCTTCTTTCACGTGTTTTCCTATCTCTTCGTTTTCCCGTTCATCCGTTCTCATATTACGTTTCTCACTGATTGCGATTCGCGCTCGCAGGAAGGTGGCTCAGCTGTGCGCAGCCTAGACAATGTCCGAAGATTCTGACTCTATATCAGAGGAAGAAAGAAGTTTGTTCCGTCCGTTCACGCGGGAGTCCCTGGCAGCGATCGAGACTCGCATCGCCGAGGAAGAGGCCAGGCAGAAGGAGCTTCAGCAGAGAAGAGCGGAAGGCGAGGTATGAACGCGGCCGTATGCGCTCGTGCACCACGATCGCGTATACTTCTATAAATTTTCCATTGCGCATCAATTACATCGACGCATAAATTCGTCATGTGCGTACTACTTCGTAGGACATCCCTCAAGTAGCGCCAAATAAATCACGCGGTCATTCCATGATGATCGCGTTCAGGCAACTTTTCGATCCTTTTGAATTATTCCACGAGTCTTCTCGAAGAGATTATTGTTTGAACTTATTGAAAAAGAGATCGTAGCGGTAACTCCAAAAAAAGAAAAATGCTTTGCGTAAATGTTCGTTGTACATACGCTTGTTGTTCTCCAAACTCGTATTTCGCTATTTCGAGTTTGTTGTTATTCGTTGTGTAATTTTTCAGTTGGTCAATATATTGATTAACGCTAGCGGGTATATATATTTATCTGACGCTGCTGATTTTCCTGCCAGGCTCGATTGTTGCGATCAATTGATTTTCCTGTGTAATTACTGTCCTCTCTTTGTACATATTCATGTGTACATATCTATATTCATACGAGACGAGACAATGTAACAAATAAAAATTTACAAGTCTTTACGGAAAAAGATATAACATTTAATTTTAAAAATCCTATTGCACATCAGATCATCTTAGAGCTTTCGAGAAAAATTCGACTCTTAAACCGACAGCCATTGCGCCCATTGGCGCTTGTATAAATGTGCTAAATGAAAGTTTCGCATTAAATGCCACTCATACTTAAGATTTTGTTACGTTCATTCGTATAAAATGTTATTAAAATTTTTTCTTTCAAAACATTTTAGCGGAAAAAAATATTTTTTTAATTAATAAAGTAAATACGTAATCAAACAAAATAAATAAAATATGAAATGGATAGAATATCCTTTCGAAAATATCAGGAGCGATACAACAGTGCCGCACTTGTCAAATACATTTGATAACAAATTAAATTTATTTAATAAACAAACAACGAAAATTAAGGTATACATCAATATTAAAAAAAAATTTTAGATCGCAGTATTCAATTTGAATGTTTTTATTCTCCAAGAGATATTATGTTACGTTCTTTAATATATCCAATAGAGAATGTATAGGTTTTTTTATTGATTGATCTTAAGTATGAGCTGCCTTATCATTGACTTTCCTACGCCTAGCTGTAGCGCCGTTTGCGAAACCTCTTCTGTTCTCCATACTTTTCTTACGTCAAACAAAATTCATCCGGTCCTCTCATCCATTCGACTGTCCCTTTGATTGTTTGCTTGATCTATCGCTAACGTAGTGAGGATGTAACTATCTCTCTACCGACGACTACTTTAAACCCATTTGTTTATACATATATATATATATATACATACATATATCTGTCGTCGAGTAATGTATTGTGTGTGTTACGAAAGATATGTCACGTACGAAGCTCGATGTCTGCAGTGCCACTTATCTTTCTCTCTGTGCCTACTTATACATAGATACATATATAAATCTATATACATATATACATATTATTTATGTGCGTGAATATCGCTCATGTGTCGTGGCCACCTCCACTTGTTTCTCCCAGCCGCGTCGCACTCGCGTTAATGAATAACGCGCGAGTGCCACGCGATGGGAGATGATTATCCACGGAGGAGCCGTATTAAATGTAAATCCAACGAATGAGTCCCCTTTACATCCTTATAATTAGCGCTCCTAATTCGCCCCCACGGCTATAACGGCAACGCCGATAAAAGGAGCGGATTTATTTATTAACCTGTCTCCTCCGCCGCGTCTATCGCTCAACATTGATCGCGCCGTTTGAAAATTACTTTCGCAAGAGGAGCAAATCCTCTCCTTTTATTGCCTCCTTGTATTATACTCCAGCGATGAAAGGTCAAGGAGAGAACGAGAGAGAAGCGAGATCAAGACTGGATTATCATCGATCGTCTCACTCTCTTTCTGTAATAAATCTTGAAAATCTAAGAATGTATCGGCCTACTATTTTTGCATGTAAAAATATATCACGAAGTTTGTGAATTAAAGTGCTAATTTGGACGAATAAATTATTGCATTTCCCTAATTAATTGTGCAGAAGTTACTTTGTATGTTAAAAAAAATGTTAAAAAAAAAAGTACAAATTTTTCACGGTCTGCAGCACAATTTTGTAAAATATCTTAAAATAATTGACAACGATACGGGCTTTAATTCTCTGTGAAAAGTATTTTCGAATTCCCCGAGATAAACCGTGTTTCTCCAACAGTTAATCCAGTCCCGATCAAGCTTGATGTGCTTGGAAACCCTCTTTCCGGCTTGCCTGATCCTGTGTATCTCCTGCCGTATGTCTATGTCGTGTTGTAACCGTGTGTTTCTTCTCCTTCCTTTCTCGCCGGTCGTCCTTTTAATCTCTTTATCTCTCTCTTTTTCGTTTTCTATTTTTCTTTTTTGAACTCCGCCCGATTCAAGCTCTTACCTTTCCAAAAGCTGCGGACTGATCCGTCTTACCGCGCCCCACATCCCCCTTGTTATCCCCGCAAAATATTGACATATTCTTTTTTTCTAGTCTCATTCACCGATATTCCCCCCCCCCTCGCCCTGTATTCTCTGTATCTCTGTGTGTAACGACTGTTTCTCCGTTTCTCCAATTTCAGGGAGGTTATGGACGGAAGAAAAAGAAAAAAGAAGTAAGACGTTACGTCACGCTAAGTAATACCGCTCTCTCTATCTCACATCCGACTCTTCTACCTTACTACTAACATACACACACGTGCGCACACGTCATATATACGCCGACATACACGTATCGCACACATATGTACACTGTGGAACACGTGCGCAACAGACACGCACACGATCTCACGATTTTTCCTTCACTCGGCAGCTTTTGGCCGATCGATCGACTAGACACGCGTCACTCACTCACTGCCCGACACCACATACACACACGCATACACACACACACACACACACACACACACACACACACACACACGATACACTTGCTCACACATTTTTGTGCAAAGGGATTGAAAACAAGAATAATGAACTTCCCAGGTCCTCGCGAGTGTCGAAGAATCGATATTCGCGTAATAGTCGCGGGACGATTCCACACACCCCCCGCGTAGCAGTACTCGAGGCTGCATTTATATTGGAACTTTACACAGTTCGATTTTATATACATTGATTACTGACTCACGGATCAGTTGAATTTTATTAGTTTCTTTGTTTGTTCATTAATCTTCAATATATGTAAGTGCTTCCTGCCAGAAAATAAGCCATTTATTATTGTTAGCTCTGAATTCTGAGATAAAACAAAATAGCATATTTTTTAAAGCGCTATCTTCCGCAAGCTATTCTGACAAAATATTTTCTCTGATAAATTGCTCGCGATAATTTCGGCGGGGAAACTTTCGCGATTTTTAAATCCGATTCCTTCTCGAACGTCACGATTACTTCCAAAGGCCATTCGCGTTCACTGGGTTCAGACTGCCGCAGTCGTAAAGATTTCAATCCCTGGTTTTCTGCGTGCCACGGTGTATATTGATTTCCCGAGCGTCATCATCCCGAATCGATGTATCGACCGGACCAAAGATGGTGCAAGTTTAATTCGCGAGGCATTGAATTGAAACGTTTTGATTAATTAATTCGGGGACTATTTTCAGCGCGCGGGAACGCGCGGCGATTCGCCTCCGTGATATCTCAATGTCAGTATCTTTCTTATCGCGAATATCCCTTCTTTTCTGGGTATTACATCGTGGCCGATAACATGATTAAGTCTCAGAATTTGCACACACACAGAGACACACACACACGCGCGCACATACATACACACACACACACACACACACACACACACACACACACACACACACACACACACACACACACACACACACACACAGCAGCGTGCTTCTGTATATTGCCCCTTGGTTGTTTGCAAATACACGAATACACGTTCCTTGGCAAGTGTCTTGACGTCTTACGATCAGAAGCGAGCTATGCTTACGCTTTAACGCGCGGCTTTCCCTCGAAATATTTGTTGCTTTCCAGAATCTCTATGCGCTGAAAGTGCTTTACGACACACTTACAGGGGAGAGAGCTTGGGATCAATTGTAACGGGGGAAAATTGCGCGACGATTTGGAACCCTCGGTTGTTGTAAACTGTCAATAGTAACCGAGGAGAGAGAGAGAAGATTCATTTATATCGAGTGATATATATATATACACATCACTCGCAAATGTAGATAACATATTACGACGAAAACAAATCAACATTTTATTAAAACAATTAATCCCAGACTCGATCATGTGCAATGATTCAAGAAATGTACAAGTTAAAGATACGCATTAAACCTAATGCGACCTGATTTCGAAGAGACCGCTTCGGGCGCACCTTACTCGTGCATATTTGCGCGCTCAAGTAATAAATTAAAATACGTAATTTCTGACGAGATATATGAGCGCGGTCTTAAAAAAGTTCCCAGGGAACGTCTACGAAGTGGCAATACGAGAGATGCGCAGTATATATGTACGGTATACGACATAAATATTTCGAGCGGAGGTCGCGGTCGCGCGCGCCTGGTAACGCTTACGCAGATCGTAATGTGCCATACGTGCAGCAACGCTTTATACATACGCTGACTTTCTTCATCCCGTATTTCTTTTTCTTTTTTTCCCATTTCTTGACGAATTCCCATAGCGCGCAACTGCCGAGCGTCGCGGCTGCCAGGAAGCAAAGTGCGCGAGTCGCGCACAGTCGCGCGATAACGCGGTGCATCTTCCTCCGGAATCGTATTGATTTATAGTCGGTCGCGATAATAGGAAGTTCAACGAAAGAGAGAAACGGGGGGAGGGGGAGCGGGGAAGGAGGGAGAGAACTTCGCCGGCGGATCGCAGGCAGCTCGGGAACAATCTTAATCCCCGTCGGCGCCTTCGCGGCGTGTTTGTTATTCCCGCAGTGAAATACGCATCCGAAGACACGAAAGTCAAGTTCGCGCGAGAAGCGACGGCGACTTCGATTTCCCGCGGTTTCTCGCGCACTATGCTTGTACATATACGCTTCTCTCGTGATCGAATCCAATAACGTATACGCAGGATCAGACCCCGGTGGTTCGGGGTCTCCCTACACCAGGGAGGGATTCGACCACGAGTTTCGAAAGTTTCCGCACGCACGAGCACGAGTTTTAGAGCTTTCGCGCGCAGAGCTCGGCCGGGCACTTGGCTTGCGCAATTTACAATTAGACCTATAGTCATCTAGACCGTTACACGGATTCTAGCTTATAGTCTTTTATTTAGGTGTATAGGACACTTGCCTACATTTTTCGACACGTAATTCTACAATCTATATATATCTATAAATATAAAAAGGAACCGCAATTGAGATTTACATCACTGCACCGCGAGATCGATTGAACGGATCTCTTCCCATATTCATCATATCCGCGGAGCGTCGCATTTTGCGATGTTTGCGAAGTGAACATGTCGCGGCGACGGATCGTTTAGTGGTTAAGAAGGTCTTAAACTCACCGCGCATAAATTTACGTAAGCGCAACGTAAACGTAGAATACGAACCCGTCCCCGGGCCCGCGGGGAGAGATATAACCGGGCGCTTTATTTCGGGTCGAGACGTTTATCTGCCATGCATACGCTTTTATATCAATTTGTGAGCGACTAGATAAAGTACTGTGCCCTGAATGAGATGGAGATCACTCCCGTTTACCCGTTTGCCCCGCTACGGCGGATCGGATAGAGGGTAGAATAGAGCTATTAATTGTGTCTAGAGCGTTATAGACGAACTAGTGTCAGTCGAGTAAGCATAGAAAAAAAAAAATAGGAATAGTACCTCTAATTAAGATTAAGCCGGAGATTCGAGCCGTAGGAGGGGCCAAAGTCGAGCAGATCGTGTGGACCTTCTTCAGGTTCGTATGTTCACGACCCGTTTTTAGCACCGATCGAATTTACAGCGCGAATATAATCAGTATATTCCATATACTGGCATCGCCTCTTCACACTGCCGTGATTTTATTGTGTGTCACTAGCTAAATTACGATAATCAACGTAATAATGCTTTTCCGAATTTTATCAGCAAAACTCACGGCGATTCAGTAAGTTTGCTTGGGATATCTGGCCGATATTTTTTCTGAGAAGAAAAGAGATTTTCCACTCATTCGGAAAACACGCGACACAGTCGCACGCAATACGCTTACTGTACCGTTTTCACTATTAGATCACACAGGTTGAGATTTTGTTTTGTGATGCACAAGCGACGACGATGCGGTGCAACGTATTTTGAGCTCATCTAAAAGCGGGTTATGAATAACTGGTGCACTTAGAAAAGTACGCGGATGAATATTTCCAAAGAAGCGATTTGTTCGAATATTCATACGACGGCACTGAATATTTCACGTTCGCGTTCCACACACGAGAGAGTCACGATGCCGTATGGTTTCCGTCCTTCTATACGGTCAAGTTTATATTTACAGCGGCAGTACAAGGCAGCACGTAAATGTATATTTTAACGTCACTTTCCCGTGGAAAAAAAAATCTCGCGTAAAACATTTTCCGCGGTAAAAGAATATTAGAATGTTAAACATAAAAGATTACGCGTGAGAGTTAAATAAAGTTAATAATTGACAGCGTTGAGTAACTGAACAATTATAGAAATTAAATAATTTATACTTTCTGTGAAAATATATATCGGTTGTATTAAAATGTATGTATATAATATTTGAGAGAAACTTTGGAATCGTATTCGTAATAACTTATTTTAACTGCATTTTCATCATATCTCTTTTGTATTATTCTTGTCATGAGTATAACGAAGAATTACTGATATATTTGAAAATTAATTCTGTATTACACGTTACCGTCGAAACGAGGGAATATACAACTGTGCACACAGCCGAGCCCTATTGTCCGTTTAATTTACGGTCGAAGAAGTCGATATTTTGGAAATATTTATACCTATCACCGATTGCTCGATTATTTTTACTTTTTACGCTCGAATATGAAATGCGATACATGCGATGGCCCAATTTGATTTTTCATACGAGACGCGGCTGCAACGTGAAAATAATGGAACGTATTAAAATCAATTTTTGCAAAATTTTAGAAGCGCGACAAGCGGACGAGGTCAATTTTTTTTCCCCCGTGTACCGGCATCGTATGACATATTCGCTTCGATAAAAGGAACGTTTTAATCACTCAAATATATAATTCTCTTCTCATAGAATTTGAATTATACAAAGATATATCTTTTAGATTTTAATTACTTGCGATAATGTTTCTCCCTACGAATCTTAACATCATTTTGCTCTCTCAGGGGCAAAGTGTCGTGATATAACGATGATGGTGAAGAAAAATTATTACCGCGTATCGGTATAATCTTATGAGCATCTCGTTCGCAGGTACGGTATGACGACGAGGACGAGGACGAAGGTCCTCAGCCGGATCCACTATTTGAGCAGGGAGCGTCGATCCCGGTCCGACTGCACAACGAATTTCCAACCGAGTTGGCCTCCACACCTCTCGAGGATATTGATAGCTTCTACCACAATCAAAGGGTACCAGGCATTGATGCACTAATTAGTTTAAACTGTCTTAGAGGAACTGAGTTTTCGCGAGAGATGCGGAATATTAGAGACTGGGTTGTGTAACGAGCGGTCACTCACTATGACCGCGTCTGGCGCAGCTATATTCAAACTTTCGGCTTTCAAGCTCATAATTGCTTTGTGTAACTATTTTACGGTTGTAATGGTGTGTTAAAAGCTGTACATCTATATCGGGATCTTTTTATAATTTAAACCTGCAAGCGCGCATAAAACTCGGAAATTGTGAATTTATATTAAAAAATACTTATATATTTTTCGCGAATTGATATTTTTCTTACACAACTGATTTTATACATTATTATTATTATGTCCAGAAAATTTCTTTATTTTCTTTATTTATATACCTAAATCGAAATAATTATAATATTTTAAAATACGGAGTCCCATTGAAAGCCTTTTTCATTAACGTTTCTATTTTCTAAAACACACGATTAAATTCGCGAACACAAATACTTTATACTTTCTTAAATGGTTGTCTATCTATTTCTACACTATTTCTTCTCTACTCGCAATATAATCGACTGCATAAATTTTGTGGCACGTGTTTGTTCGTAGACCTTCGTCGTCATTAGCAAGGGAAAGGATGTATTCAGATTCTCAGCGACGGACGCGATGTGGATGCTCGATCCGTTCAACCCTATACGGCGCGTGGCCATATACATATTGGTTCACCCGCTCTTTTCCCTCTTCATCATCACTACTATATTGGTTAACTGTATACTCATGATCATGCCCACCACGCCCACCATCGAGTCCACCGAGTGAGTATCTTTCACCGTCCTCATTTACGAATCTGTAACTCTATCGACGATGAATGAGCGAACATTTTAATAAGAAAACTACTGCTTTTTCGTTCTTATTAGAAATGAAACTTTTGAAGAAGCTCTAATTAAAAGTTTTAGAGACTGCGACGAATCAATAGACTTCTGAACAAAAGTAAATATTTATTTCCAATCGATATAATAAAGTATTCATGATGAAGTATAATATTACAAAGTATAATATTATGTAACTTCGTAAAAAAACACTATTTTTAAAAAAGCACTTTTATGTTTTTTAAGTATTTAAAAAAATCTTTAGAGTCTAATTAAAGACTCTTTTAAGTTTTTAGATATTAAAATATTTTTTAAAAATATTTCTACGATTATTTCTTGCAAAATTATATAATTTTTGTATTTTATTTTATTTTTTGTCACTAGTTTCAAGCGACACTTTAATTTTGAGGAATATTCAAAGTATTTTTACATAATCAAAATTAATATCGTTGACGTTAATAACCATGTATATTTAATATCTACAACAAAATATACAAGTGATTATCATGCGATAATTTAAGTATATCGTTTAATATTATCAGTTCATCTCAATGATGATATTTAATTATCGTGTAATTAAATCCTGTATCTATTTTTTTTATATTTTCAAATATCAATTTTTGAATTTGAGACTTGAAAATAAGAAACAATCTAACAAAAAAATTATTATCACATTTTGCAAATGCAAACAATATGGAAGAGAAATAAAGTGGCAAAAATTTTTTATTTTCTAAGATATACAAAGATTTTGCAATGACTGAGACGATATGTCCTTAAAGCCTACCATTAAATGATTGTACATAATTTAATCTACCGAATATGTCTACCTAAATTGAAGATACGTTGTCGATTATTTATTTCAAAATTTAGCTCGTCGTTTTTACTGTCACGTTTAGTTGTTTTGATATTTATTTAGCTAGAAAGAATCTCATCGAAGGCTTACGACGTGATCACCTGTGTTGTATAGTCATTTCAAGAAATGTTCTACATGTTATAGCTCTAATATATGAGTAGAGACTGTGATAAATTGTATTCCGTTGGTAAGTTTTGTACTAGTCTCTCTAGAGGTAGCATTAGATGACGGGCAACAAATCGCGAACGATTCAACATGCAGTGTATGCACTGAAAATTTGCGGATATTATTTTCAGGAGTATATCTCGAAACTTGGGAAAACCATTCGTAAAGCTTCAAGATAAACAATGAGTCGAACAACTATTGTACAATATGTCAGTATTAAATGAAGAATCGAAAACCTGATTTTTATCTTTTTTTTAATCGTATTTCTTGCATTTAACCGAAATGTTACTAGGCTAACAATAAGTGTGACAGTTTTTTTTTAATTCACTCTATCGCGCGCTGCGAATAATTCGTTCGCGTGCTCCGTGCCTGAGATGCGAGTATATCGTAGTCAATTTATACGATGAAAATAGATGTCAGTAAATTATTGCCGGGATAAAATAGCCGTCAGAGATTATCGCCGAGTTTAGATGCGATTAGTCTCGCTAGCAAAAGTGATCATGTTAATTAATGTGTAATTTCTTTATTCGCATGTTTTTGCGTTTATCGATAGATTAGCTATGCCGTTGTGAAATTTACACAATGTAAATATAGTAGCAAATATATTTTGTAATAATTAGAAACAGAAAGTAATTATGGGACAATGGAAGTATAATATACGACAGCTATATGATCACATTTTTGCGCGCGAGTATTCGTTCGCGCGTGATTTTAAAGCGTGCTAGATGGTAGAGAGAAAAAAAATCACACGAGGCGCATTTAAAAAACCTGAGTGGTGTGTTTGTTGTTTTCAGAGTGATATTTACGGGCATCTACACATTTGAGTCCGCCGTTAAGGTGATGGCGAGGGGTTTCATTCTGCAGCCTTTTACCTATCTTAGAGATGCATGGAATTGGCTCGACTTCGTAGTTATAGCTTTAGCGTGAGTAGTTAAAACTTATTCTTCTTAAAGAGCGAAAGGCAAAAGAAGAACGAAAAAAGTAAAAGTAAAATAGAACAAGAAAAAACGGAGGAAAACACGGATAGAGTACGGTGGGCAAAGGGATCGTCGCCATTTTGTCGAGAAAAAATCACGGAGATTCTGTGGATACTAAATGGAAGTGCCCAAGTATCGCTCTAATCTTTTTATAAATTGTAGCTCGTGCTAATTACTTCGACCTCGTAAGAAACGTTATTACGAAGACTACAATTTATCGTACCCTCATTTCCTCTTCGGACTACAAAAACGTAAAATAATTAATTTTCAGAATATACGGTGACCTTTGCAGAAATTTGCTATTTACAAATTATTTTTACGGTGAATCAATTAAATGAATCAGTTGACTCTTAATAGTACGGAAAAAAAGTAGATTATGAAATCGTGTCACGACGACGAATACGGTAATCGAGATCGTGGCAATCTGTGAATTGGCAATTTTAGACCGATGAAGTTCGTTATACTGAAGAGAAGTTAATCCAGGAAACGTTAATTAGTATCAAGTTAGATCTTTCCAGGTTGTGACAGTAGACTTCTCCGCTAGATCCGTTGAGTACGCTAACGTAAGACTTCCGTAGCATCGATTATGTACTTATATATTATATATATTCGAGCTTCGTTCATTACGCCTCACAATCCACGCAGAGACACGAACGCGCATACACGCATAATACACTCTGGAGTGTATTTATATATATTTTAGGTACTTAAATTAGTTCATCTAGATAGGGATAGTATTATTTCTTGTCTCTTTTAGTAATATTAAACAAAGAGTTTCTTAATTGCCATTCGTAATACGTTGATTAGACATTAGTACTCTTACGTCGAGTCGATTTCGTCAGTTGACTAATTGTTGTAGTTTTAGTACACATCTATATTATACATACGTTCTTACTTCAGTTCGTTCTAATTGTTCATAGATGATCGATACGTGTATACGTTTTCACTCGATAAACGAGTACTCGACTGCGGCTCGTAACATGGCCGAGATCGCGTGCCACGAGATTCGATAATCCCATCATTTTCGTAGTACTTGAGGCGTTCCTATTGTTTCCACAATTGATCTATTTTTTTTCTTGCATTTTAGTGAGAAAAATATTAACAATATTGGAAAACACAGAATCACAGTTTTTATCCTACTTCGAAGAGTCGAAAGTACTTGTTGGAATTATAAAAATACTTGTTAGAGTAAGCTTTTGAAATTTTTTAATGCGATACTATATTTTTCAAATGAGAGAATTATAATTTAAAAGTGTTTCATTTTTTTTTCAAAAATAAAAAATGACATAAGACATAAATGTTACAAATGAAATATACGCGGTAGCGTTAAAAATAATTTAATCGCAGCTTCAAGAGAGAAGAATTATTGACGGAAGTAAACGAGTTAGGGGAAAAACAATCTCGTGGCAGGTTACATGCGGCATGTTATATTGAATCGTGCATGCAGTAATAGCTACCTTACGGTACACATTGCAGTTCGTGCAGACTTTTTGGTAGGAAATAGGAAAAGTAGCGAGTAACCGTTTGCGTAACTACGTTAATCCCCCGTTAACGCCCCGATCTTCTCTAAAAACCTGTTCTCTATTCTTTTTTTTGTTCGTATCACTGTAATGTATGTGATGTTCGGGTGTATTGCAGTTATGTGACGATGGGCATAGATCTAGGCAACCTTGCCGCTCTCAGGACATTTCGAGTCCTCCGAGCCTTGAAGACTGTCGCTATTGTACCAGGTATGCTTAGAGTATAGAAGTGGTTGTAGTAACGCAAAATACACATAGTGGTTCTAGAAAACACTTGCCGCGCGATCGCTCTGTGTATATACGTCTCTCTCTTCCGATATCTCATCACATATCTACAACAGCATTCCGTTTCACTGCAGCTTGTACCGCCCTTCGCATCATCACCCCGTTTGTCACCCCCGATATTCTTACAGCCCGTTCGCGATATTCACCCCCCCCCCCCC